TTGCTGTTAATTTACACAACATTGGATAGCTGGGAGAATTTTAAGTGTTGAGAGTGAGTCGGATTGGTATTACTTGGCATGCAAGGTGATTGGCTGCAATAAGAAACTAATTCATGGTGATAAAGGTTTATGGATTCTACATTTGACACTAAATTGTTGATATGGGACTGTCAATATTGGTAAATCACTGACGAATTTTTGATTGAATGGTCAGAATTTTCATTTAATGGGAAGTTTATTACCTATGGATTGTAGTAATGCTAAATTTGCACAACGCTACATTTATGACTTGGAGAATGAAGTTAGAAATAGAATGGGTGCTGTAAGGTTTGTTAATTTATATTAATAGATTATTTTTATTTTTACTTTCTTAAATATTTATATGTAACTACATTATTATTAAAAGTACTATTTTACTACAAATTGTTTTAGGAAAAGAAGTGATGTACAGTACAAGAATTAGAAAGAGATGTGGTCGCTGATATCCAATCATCATTAAACGATCATAATGTTTTGGTTAAGTCATTTAGATGAAGTTAATTGCCAGGGATGCAATACAAGCCAATCCTAGAGTTGAAGTAAAGATGAAGTTAATTGGTAAGCAAAATAAGGATGCTAGAACATATAACTTACCGACAGTGTCAAAAGTTGCTGCTCTTATTGTTGGAGATCTGGATGTACATTTGGGTGAGCGAGACATATTGGTGGAGTAAAAAACTGGATTGTTTAAAAGGATTAGTGAGTTGAATCCAGCATATCTACCCCTACAATATCCTATTTTATTTCCTTAGGGTGAAGATGGATATAGGGAGGATATTGGTTTCAATGTTGGTAGAATTTTAGACAGTGCTGCAAGACATCGTATTTCACCTCGCGAATTTCTATCTTATCGTATGCATGAGCGATTTTCTGAGATCTCAACATTTCTATATGCTAGGAGATTATTCCAGCAGTTTTTAGTAGATGGGTACACCATGGTGCAGTCTGGACGATTGTTATATATATTCGTACCCATCAAAGATCATTACAATGTGGTGCATATGAAGGATTGTCTGATGCATTGACGCGAGGAGAAATTCAACCAAGTCGTCATGGCAAGCGAGTTATTCTTCCTTCCAGTTTCACGGGAAGTGCAAGGTACATGATTCAAAATTATCAAGATGCAATGGTGATTTGTGGTTGGATTGGTTAACCAAATATATTTATCACATTTACATGTAATATTGATTAGTGATATAACCTAATATATATTATTCACACGGAATTTACTTAATCTTGTATATGCACGTGGAATATCCATATAAATAAATTATATAATGAATTAAATTTCATTAATAATATTCTATATCATCAAATTAAACTGCAACGAAAGTCAGGTAAAAATATCACTGCATCTATATTCTAATTGATTAGTATAATTGACTGAGAATGAATCTAACATTACTAATTAACTGAAAATATAAAAGGAAATGAATATTAATAATTGACTGCAAATAAAAAATGATATATAATTAACTAAAAATGGTAAAATCATTGCATTTTAATTAAAAACAGGATGGAAATTAAAAATTGGAGGAAAATATTTCAATAATAATATTCTACATGGCAATGCATATTTTAAACAATAGTAAAGATAAATTAAAAATGAAACGGAAATATTTCAATAATAATATCAATATCATCAATTAAAAATGAAACAAAAATTAGGTAAAAATATTACTCCATTTGATATTCTAATTGACTAAAAATAAAAAGGAACAATTGGCAAAGCCAAACAGGACTCACTGACTGACTCAGGGATTAAAGTTTATATTTACAGAAACAAATTTTAAATAGTAAAGAAATCTAATTGTGATAGAGTAACTGCCTTCTTTGCCAAACCCCATTCAAAGCATCATAATATATATAGAAACATTCAAATCCGATCCTTAGAGTTTCAGAAAACCAGAACTCTTGGCTGATTCCTTAATAATCCTCCCAAAGAGACAGATCTCGAGAGAGAGAGAATGGAGTGTGACACCCCAATTGATGACGTCTACTGCGAAGCATGGGAGTCTCCATATCTGAGAACCCCAGAACTTGTTTCCCCATCATCGTCCCCAACTCAACACTTCTACATCCGAATCGTTCTTGAATTTCTTTACCCATCAGCACTCGCAGTAATGGAGGATGATGATGATGAGTGGAATGAGGGTTTTGACGAAAACTGGTTCGAGGGCGTCACGAAAACGGAGCACTTCTGGGCGGCGTGCAACCGCCTGGAGCCGGAAAAACTCTCCCACGACGACATCTCCGGCATGCTTTCCGACATGGGGGTTCCTGTGAGGAGCCAATTTTTCTTGCTGCAGAAAATCTCGGCCTGCGCCAATGAGGTCGCCGCTGCTGCCCACAACAAGGGCGAAAAGATTCTGCCTATCATCGTCTCCGCTAGCGTCTTGGTGGACCAATCTCACACTATCCCATGAACAAAATTAGGTTACGTTAATGTTCTGAATTTACGTGTTCTTGGTGGGTTCAAGATTTTCTTTCTTGATTTTCTTAATAATGCACTGCTGTTTTTGAATTTTTGGTGTTCGGAATTATCTGTGTAATTTTTTTTTAAACCTCTAAACGCTCTCCTGATGGACATCCATCAAGTCTTATTTTTAATGAAGGGATAATTATTTTAGGGGTTGGTTGGAAATTTGGAAAATGACTCTTGGGAAAGTTATTTTTCGGGCTTCTAGTGTTTGGGTACTAAAGGAAAAAGAAGTCAATATGAAATTAAAATTAAAAAAAATTGGCGCCTAGTGATTTTTTCAACCTTGACCACACCACCACCACCATCACTACCACCAACACCACCACTACTACCATCACCACATATTATTGTTGTTGTTGTTTGTTGTTGTTGTTATTATTATTATTATTGTTGTTATTATTATAACAAATAATATGTTCATTTTTAATGAAATGAACCAAACAAAAAAAATACAATTTTTTAACTTTTAGCCAAACAATTTTTGACATTCAACTAAACACCAAAAAATTAAAATATTTTTTAAAAAATAATTCATTTTCTGAAAATAAATTTTCAAGTTTCCAAACAAAAGAATACAATTTTTTAACTTTTAGCCAAACAAATTTCTATGTTTACATATGTTATCATTTAATGGTTTTTTTTTCATCTAATAAATCTAACATAAAGGAATAATTGTCAAATATGCCACTCAACTGTACACTAAATTATAATTTAGCCATCGAACTCAAAAAGAACACAATTGGACCCCTGAACAACACAAATTAATGCAAATCAACCCAAAATGACATGTTTACCTGGAAAGGCGATTATCGAATTTAAAAATATATTTTTTAATAATTTTTTTAAATAAAAAAATTAAAAAAAAATTCCTTCGCCTTCACTGGAGACGAAGGGGCGACTTCGTCTTGGGCCGTCTCCCGGACTATGGAAACGGCCTGAGAGTTGCATTCCACTTCGTCTCCGCGCGGAGACGAAGGGATGGCATCGTCTTGGGCCGTCTCCCCGACCATGGAGACGGCCTATGACGAAGCCACCTTCGTCTCCGCCAGAAACGAAGAAGTCTTTTCTTCGTCTCCGGCGGAGACAAAGGAGTTTTTTTTAAAAAATTATTTTAATTAAAATGATTTTACATAAATATTTATAAATTCAAGTACTGCCTTTTCAGGTAAACATGTCATTTTTGGATTGAATTACTTGAGTTTGCGTTGTTTAGGGACCCAATTACATTCTTTTTTAATTCAATGGTCCAATTGCAATTTAACTTACAGTTGAGTAACCTATTTGACCCTTATTTCCTAACATCAATTAACAAAATGGACCAAAATTATCACTTCAAAAATAACTAAGAGATAAAAAATAAGCACAACAATAACTAAAGTTGAGGTATAGCTCATTGACCAAATATACCATTTCCCTTATTAATAAGGGCTTAAAGTATAGAGCTTGTTTTCTCTTCTTGTTAGAGGCCCAATCACAAAGTTATGCATGAGCCCAAATGGAGAAATTCTTGACTCAGTTGACTGCACCTCCATACAGCATCTTGTCCAACCAAGCATTGACAGCAGCTCACATTACTCCATGAACAAAGAGGAGCTCACACACTCTTCAGAGGTGTTTGTTAAATAGCTATTAGTTAATTGAGTTAGTGAATTTGACTAGTTAATACTATTATAAAAAAGTGTTTAATAAATTAATTGTTAACTGATTACATGCAAAATTACTTTTTTAAAAAAACTCATCGAACAACTTACTTTGAGCAGTTTTTCGAATTTTAACATTTTAGTTACAAAAAAAATTAATTAATGAAACACTCATATTGAGTGTTTAGCCAAATCAAACAGTTAATAGTCATTAAATAAGTCAAAATTGACTGATAAACTAACTATGTTAGTAAACAGGACCTTTATCTTGTTTATTTTCTGTGCTAGTTCTCCCAATAACTGTAGAATTATAAGGTGAAAACTGAAAACTGAAAAGGCAATGCCACTATAAGACACAGTACTCCATGCTCAACCAAACAGTTTCAAGTACAGTTGCCAGTTTAAACATTGAAGCCTTCAACAAAGCTACTTTATCTTTGCATGAGCCTCTCAACCATTTCTTTCAAAGTGCTTCACCATCCTCCCCCACTAAGCATATATTCAGTTCCAAACTCCTTTGATTCACAAAAGCATCAGAATATATTCTCCTTTTCACTACAGAATCAGGTGCACCAACCAACAAAGGCAGCTTATCTTTTGCGAGATTGTAGTGACAGAAATAGGACACAAAAGATCCTATTGTGTATCGCACGTTTTAGGAACAATTCAAGAAAGAAATCAAGAATAACGTAACCTCATAAACAATCACAGGAATATCGATGTAGCCACTTTATTATTGAATTTAAGCAAGACAAGTAATGCCGACATCCTGAGCATATGCCTATGTTATATATAACTATCGATTAGAGACTTAAGGAACAAATGCAGAAAAAAGCGTATAACTTAATGTATCGGAAAAGGTACCGGGAACTTTTATTCTTTGATAAAATGTACAAGAAAGTCAATCAGGTGGTGAATGACAATACTTTACACTTCAAAACCAGAAAACAAGTCAAGCATATATGTTTCGTTTGTTCAGGAATGTAATTAAAATTTAAAAGTTGTTTCTAAAAGACCTTGAAAGAAGGCTTTCCATGGCTGAATCATATCTGAAATTCCTGAATATGCTCAAAAGAAGACAGATAAATCTGGGGTTTAACCTGTTCTCCGAACCCTCCATGTAACTAAAACTTTTAAGGCTGAGAAGATACACAAAAGGATCCAAATCAAGCAATCATATCATCAGATTCACCAGCAATTTCATTACATGTAGCACAGTTAGCACTGGCGATTTCATCGAGCAATGCAGATTGAGCAAAATCCGAGATATCCAATTGCGATTGATTCTCAGCCCGGGCTAATCATACTTCTCTCTCCAAGAGAACACGAGGAAGAAAACCCAGGATAGCCCCAAGGCGAGATCCCCAACTACGAGCCTGAGCCAATCACGGCCAAGATCCTCGAGCCTCCTCTCGAAGTAAATCCTCCAAACCGCCATAGCTACATGGAGAAGCACACACCCCCTAGCAAAGAAGCCATGGAAGTCCCTGTCCTTCACAAATGCAACCATGAACAAGAAAAATCCAATGGCAAACAGGAGTAATCCCGAGAACGAATCCGAGGTTTGGATTATGAGCTGATCATGAGATGTTGATCCCAACAGCTTGCTGGCACGCTCTCTGCCATGGCTAAACACAAGCAAATCATTGCTGTAGAACATCATCAAAGCTCCACAGCTTAAGGCCACCAAAGAATGCAGCATACAGAGAAGGAAAAACCCAGATGAACTCATGGATGTCTCCTTTAATTTACCCCAACAAAGCTTCAATTTTTATCCGTGAAAAGTATAACCCTTTCAAATCCAATGCTTCCTTGAAAACCCCCAAATCAGTAATTGAACTAAAAACTAACCACGCCTTCAATCTCAACTTCCAAAACACATTTCATAGAAAACCAAGAACGCACGAACCAAACCCTAAAATTATCTTTCAAACAAGATATTTACCTGCAATTAAGCCGATGCCATAAGTACAGTACCTGAAGAGAAAGAGCAAAACTCTGGGAAACGACAGAGAATCAACATGATAGTCCCTCTCAGCCACAAGGATGTGAACTTAAAAGCTCACAATTTAACTCCCAAGAACGATCTGGAAAGTGGAAACACAGCACAAAGAGGGTGCAAAGAGAGGCCAAAGAAATGCCTTTCTTTTCGTGACTAACTCAAGATCCAAAACCCCAAATCTGTGCAAGTGAATTGGCGAAGAATCTGATGAGAGGAGTTCATAGAAAGAGGGTTGTTTGCAATTAGCAAATTGGGAGAGTAAAAACAGTAGTGTGGTGTTCGTTGTTCTTTTCTTGGGAGTTTCAAGATGTGTTGGTGAAGGTGGGGTCCATCTTACCGTTTCAGATTTAACGTTTTCGGACAAAGCCAAAGGGGAAGTGTGGATTAACATAAAACTTTATTACATATTTTTTGTCCTTGCGCCAATCAAAATATCACCATTTTTTAATTTTACCAACTCGCTTTCACAAATCATATAAAGAGATAAATCATTAAAAAAATAAAAATATATATACTTTTATCAGAACTTACCACATTAAAGAATAAATTTGAGGGAATAAAATTTGAGAGTACACGTATTAGAACTCTAAATCATATTATATCATACAAAAGAAATTAAATCTTATTAAAAAATCTTTGTTGATATCTGCTCGACTACCACATTACGTATTGCATATTTAAATAGGTAATTCTAAGTTTACGAATACAAGATAATATAGTCAAGATTAATTATGGAGTAAAGAGTAACAAGAATTCATATATAGATTATTTAAGAATGAGAATGAAAACATGATAGTAGATGTACAAACATACCTGCAGAATTCCTAGTTAATGTTGTGCTTAAGTCTCAACACAGAATTCCCCGTTGATGTTGTGTTGCAAAATAAATTAGGTTTGTACTTCTAATCGGTGGGCAATGGCTTAATATATAGAGTAATGGTGTAGTAATAATTCTATAAGGATTTGTGGGTTAGAGTTCTATTAAGACTTTAATATTAGAGTTATACTAATTGTGTAGTTATAATTCTATATTATACTTTAATATTAGAATTAGACTAATGGTGTGGTTATAATTCTATATTAGACTTTAAAGTACGAATTAGACTAATGGTGTAGTTTTACACGCGCATTGCACGAATGAGTTAATGTCCAATGTTTATAATTAAATAAATATTTGAAAGTATATCAATGCAAGATTATTTATGAGAAATTCATACATAAGTAATTTAATGTCGAATTTGTTTATTTAAATATGTAACTCGTATACAATGTAATTGTTATTAAACTTTTTTTAAATAGTAACCGAGTGTTTTTATTGCAAAGGGTTCTAACATATTTAATGAATGCACATATATACAAGATCAATGAATGAATCAACGGTACCAGTTCTTTAGGTGTTTTGCTCAGTGTTCATTTAGTTCAACCATTATTATTGAATAAATTATTATGGATAAAGAAATTCATAATTTAAAGAATTTAGATGTAGTAAAATTTTAAAAATTTTAATTATAATGTAACCCAAAGATATTAGAGCATTGCCGATTGATAAATATGATGTAACCCAAAAATCAAAATGCTAAAGAAAATATTTGGTTATTCAACCTATATATATATATATATATATATATATATATATATATATATATATATATATATATATATATATATATATATATATATATATATATATATATATATATTAAAGTTTATTGTAGAGTCATTTTGACTCCATGAATAACAAGAGCCAGTTTCGCTAGCTCACTGTTTGCACATCCACGGATGAGCAAACTTAATTTTTAAATTGGAGCCTCAAGACTCTCATGCCACTTTTTTCATCGATGTGGAAAAAATGACAAAGCTAAGGGGAGTTGAACGTTCGGCTCCTCATATGTTTTTTTTTTTTTAAAAAAATTTGTATTTGTTTTATTAAATTATTATTATTATTATTATTATTATTATTATTATTATTATTATTATAGGTATACACTTAGGTCATTTTACATGCTAATTAATTTATTGATAATGAATAAATTTTTTTTTTTGAATAAAGATATTGTAGGGACATTGTAGCGAATATAATCAATTGATGAATTTGAATGTAAAGAATTTTTATATTAGAGAAAAATATATTTTTAAAAAATATTGGAGAAAAATAAAGACAATATAACTAATGAAATTATTTCTCTTATTTAATTTATTGATAATGATTTTTTTTTTTGAATAAAGACATTGTAGACACATAATTCTAAATTAAAGAAATGCATATGTATTATTTTGTATTGTAACTACTAAATATTATTTTAATTTAACAAGAGTAAAATAGAGTACTAATTATGTCAACTTTGATTGGGATGAGAGTTTGAACCAGACCTTTCTTATTGAAATCAATGAGTAAGTTAACGGTGAACTAACAGAAATTAACGAAGAAGATAATATTTAACGAAAAAGTTAACGGATAATTATATAATTAAGGATAAATTAGAAAATCTCAAGAAAAAATTAAAATCGGATCAATCTGAGTCATATTAAAAAATTTAACCATTATCTATTCTACCTATTATATAGCTAACTCTCTTTGACTTTTATTAGTATATATAGTATAGACTTAGATTATAAACCTAACTTTCTTGGGCTCTTATTAGTATATATAGTATAAAAAATAAAAATAAGCGCCGGGTGCATACAACAGTACAGAGTACTTCAGATGTTAAGGTTTTATTTTGATTTTTAAATTTTAAAGCTATAAATAATAGAGTTAATACCCAAAATAGTCCTTCGACTATGTCGTAATTACCAATTTGGTCCTCGACTATCATTCTTACCCAATTAAGTGCTCAACTATACAATTTTTACCCAATTTAGTCCTTTGTCAATTTGACTGTTTGTTGACTGTCAAAAGTGGAAATAAAGTTGTAATTTTACAAGTTTTCTCCTTCCTCCTCATTTAGCAGCGCCAAACCATGTAGCAATAAGCTCCGGTTGGGTTCTAAACCTGTCAGTATCGAAGTAGTGGTTATGCATCGGATAGCCCATGAATTTGATTTCCAACGATTTTTTGACGATCGAAATCTGATCGGAGTGTATTGCTGCATGGTTTGGCGCTGCTAAATGGAGAGGAAGGAGAAATCTTGTAAAATTATAATTTTATCCCGACTTTTGACAGTCAACAAACAGTCAAATTAATACAAAGGACTAAATTGGGTAAGAATTGTATAGTTGAGGACTAAATTGGGTAAGAATTGTATAGTTGAGGACTTAATTGAGTAAAAGTTACATAGTTGAGGACTTAATTGAGTAAGAATGGTAGTTGAGGACCAAATTGGTAATTATGGCATAGTCGAAGGACCATTTTGGGTATTAACTCTAAATAATATATAAAGTTATTTTATACTCCGTATATAAAAGTATCCGGAGATTCGGAGTATCAGTATTTATCATTGCACACATGTCTTTCGACTGTATAGAGATGTTTCAATTATTTTAGAGCATTGAAGTGGGGACGTTATGCCATGGAATGGTGAACACGGTTCCAATGGTGTTAGTACACCGTTATTATTATTATTATTATTTTATTAATTAATTGCGTGACTTTTCTTCTTTATTTTCACATTTTGCGGTTTCACTTTAATTTGAGGTGAACAAAGATTTCGGACATTCATAAATTATGAATTCATGCCTGCACATTCACTTTGGAACCATGCCTACACATTTCCGTCCGAAATCACGGACATTCATAAATTATGAATCCATGCCTGCACATTCACTTTGGAACCATGCCTACACATTCACTTTGCATGAGATTATGAATTTTCTGTTATAAGATTATGAATTTTCTGTTATAAGATTATGAATTTTCTGTTATGAGATTATGAATTTTCAGTTATGAGATTATGAATTTTCTGTTATGCGATTATGAATTTTCTGTTATGAGATTATGAATTTTCATTACATTCATAATTTCGGACATTCATAAATTATGAATTCATGCCTGCACATTCACTTTGGAACCATGCCTACATATTCCCGTCCGAAATCACGGACATTCATAAATTATGAATCAATGCCTGCACATTCACTTTGGAACCATGCCTACACATTCACTTTGGAACCATGAGATTATGAATTTTCTGTTATAAGATTATGAATTTTCTGTTATGAGATTATGAATTTTCAGTTGTGAGATTATGAATTTTCTGTTATTCGATTATGAATTTTCATAAAATTCATAATCTCATAACAGAAAATTCATAATTTGATCAAACGCGCGCCGTTAACTCCACATTCGCGAATTTTTTTTTTTTTTTTGCCTAAAAACGACGTCGTTTTGCCTTGTGTTCACCATTCTCGGTGAACACGATTCCATGGCATAATTTGCGATTGAAGTGAGGTTTAACGTATATAGGAATAATTAGTTTTTTTTATGCGTGATGGGTAAAACATATATACAGTATTTATATTTTTAAAAAATAACTAACAAATTTTATTTTTGATTTATTTATTATATTAATTCAATATATAATGTTTACAAATATTATTATCGTTAAAGAATATAAAAATATATATAATGGATACATGTGCATGATAACAATAATGAAAAAGATAGCGGAAAATATAACGATAGAGATATTTTTGTCTAAAAAATTATATGATATAATTCTAAAAATACGATATACAAAATGATTAACACTAAAAACATAGACATAAATTAAAGATATAACTTTGATTGAGACTTATTATGTTTTTAGATAGGTATTATAATTAATCTTATGTTTGCTCATTATTAACGTATTGCACATCAATTAATTTATAATGGAGCCATAATAAGTATTTAACAACAAATAGTACATAAAATGTAAATTTTATTTACCAAAAAATAAAATACAAGTTTTTACTCATATCAATTTAATTTGCTCAAGTCTTTATTTAGTGATAAGTAACTTTTGCCCATGTAAGACGGAATTATTTCAACTAAAGATGTTGGTCTGAGGACAAAACACAATTAACTAACTCAAAATAAATTTATAAGTCTTTTTTTTTTTTTTAACTAGCAACTATAAGAATCGGGATTCAAATCTTATCAAGAATTAAAAAATATACTGATATTAAAATATTTGGGTCCTACAATTAAAACTTAAAATAGTTAAATAATTATGATGATAATGATGTTGTGGAGAAATTTGTGTGATTCTTAAATCTGATGATGATGATGTAAAGAAATTTATGTGATTCTTAAATTGCAAGTCAAATCCACCTCAAGATTGCC